TGTGGGAAAATTCTACTACCAGTCCTTCATCACCTTACACGAAATAGGATGAATACATCTCATTACACTATTTTATGATTGTCCTAAATGCATGTATGCGGGAAGAGGAGCGGATGTGGTCATAACTCTTCTTTATGTAAATGAATTAGCTTATGATTATGTCATACAAAAGCTTGTGTTAGCTTTATGGGTTCGTGTGCACTGTGTGTATGCCGTAATCACGAGTTATTTGGCAATTTTGGGTCCCAAACCAGACTTCAGGTTAATCAAGTCATCTCTTACTCAATGGCTCTTCCAGATCTCTTTCTTTCCCTAGCTCCCCCTCTCTCAAATTCTATTTAGCAGCTAGAGATAATTCTTGCCTTTTTATAAACGAAAAATAAGTAATATATTCTATTGTTATAGCAAATATAACTTAGCCTTTGAGATGTATTCACCCCATTTCGGTGAATACATCTCATATAACTTATTTAATGGTAGTCACGAGACACTACTTATGAACGAAAAATAAGTAGTGTAGTCTATTGCCATAGCAAATTTAACTTTACTTCATCAACAATCTCACCAAAGAATATGATATGGAAACATGCCGGGCATTCCTTGAAATTCACATTTGCCCTTTAACCCAAAGGCACTCTTGCCAATGTGGTATACTGGTTAACGCGTCAAGAGTGCACATTGTATCCTCATGGTTCGCGTCCAGCCTAGATTCTAGTCGACCTAGGCGAGGTCGAGACTGCAGTCCACTTTGGATGAGACAACATTTTAGGAAGCAGGGCCATGCGAAATTCAATGGAACTGTTTACATTACTCATATGATTGTAGGAAAATTCAACCATCTTTAACGAAATATGTTGATACATCTTCATATCCACTCTAGCCACCCTGGCCAAGATTTCTTTATACTTCATTTTAAGTCTGAAAATATCAGTCGGTCTAAACTCAAATAAACTTTCTTCCGACGCCTCTTTTAATATATAAAGGCAACTTTTGACGAGGATATTCATTCAGCCATAAGTTTGACAATTAATACAGACCAGGCTCATGGCCATCTCAGTTTAGATCTTCCCGTAATGGTTTAAAGAAAACTTATGTTGAACATTACAGAATATTTCCATTGTTATATTGGCAACATTTAAACTGGTTTAAAAAAATTTGCATTTTTTTAGTCTAAAAGCATTTGCATCAGGGCAACAAAGTTAAAAAACAAGGATTATATCCACTAGTTGTACGGAGCTCCAAAAGCTGTATTAGGCCTTACGTTAAATGGGTCAGATCATCTATCATTTGCTGTAAATTTAAGCGATATTGCACAAAATTAGTCCCTTATGCACGCAAATTAAATGCCTCGTATCACCTAAATGTCTGATTGTGAAATGAGTAACCTTCTATTTATACAGACACGCTAAATTTGGTAGTCTAATTGTTCAGATAAATCCTGGACTATATAATTTCTGGCCCAAACTGGATACTATCTCTCGTTGCTGGTACCAGAAAACGATTCTTCCTGCAATGCATACCTGAACACGAACCTCGGGAAGGCCAATCTTGATAGCTAAATCCTCTCTACTATAGACGTCGGGATAATGGCCCTTCTCAAATGAACACTCCAGTTCGTGTAGCTGAAATGTAGTGAAGGTGGTCCTGTTGCGTCGATGTTTCTTGACCCCTCCGCCATCTCCCATTTCGCCAGTGAAGTAGAGCGAAGCAGTGTCTGCCAGAATAGCAACGTCGTCTATCCGGCCAGGCGAAGATGGGGAAGCTGCACCGTCCTGTTCCGTTTCACCTGCCTTCCGCCGGCTCCGGGTGGGCCCATTAGAAAGTGGCATGTTTGTGTTTGAAGGGCGAGCTTCCGAGATCGGATCCCTTCTCGGCTTCGGCAGAAGATGGCGCTCCATCGCACCCTTCTCTCCGTCGTCTACCGTCGTTTCATCTGCTATCCCCTCGTCCTCCTCTGCTTGCATCGTCCTGTCCGAAAGTCCGGCCAATCTGGCCACCCGATCCCTCGTTGGTAACCGAGCGGGTCGATCCTCAGATCCTAAAGGCAGAGGGAAGAAGGTGTGGCTGTAAACGGGGCTCGAGTCTTTCCTCTTCACTCGAGGGTCCCAGGGCGGAAGTTCGGAGGAGAGAAAGCAAGAGTCATCAGCATCGCTTTGCGATTCTGAGCTGTTCTTGAGGCTGGACTCTCCCGGTCCCTTTTTGCAGATAACAGTCTCTGAATTAGAGACGAATAAAGCGGTCGCCTGACTGTCCTGGTCAAATGGCTCGTTACTAAGCTCCACAAGCGTTGCTGTACCACTCCATCCTCGATAGGCAGCCCATTGGTCCAGCTTCGGCTGCGGTTCTGCGCACAGCCTCGGGTCTTGTGGCCCCAAGAGCGGTTCGGCGAGGTCGGGAGCTTGGCAGAGGCAGTCGTCCAATACATGCTGAGGGAGAAGAGGTGAATCTCGTCGCAGAAGTGATCCAGCTCTCGTAATGGCACCTATTGCATCCAGATTGGAGCGACGGCTGCTTTGGAGCCAGGCTAAATATATGGAATACGTGATGGAGGGTCAACAAGGGGATGGAAGGAAGTTAGCCGCATTGTTGTATATAAGGACCTAATTTGCCAGATGTCATGGATAATAAAATCAACTACCAAAAGAGTAGGCTAACTTTCGAGACTATCCGCAATTCTTGAACAAGTTGCTCAAGACGACTCAAGGAGTGATAGTTGAGTTGTCCCTACGAGCAAATGAGTAGGCTGGAGAATGCGAAGGGGACCAACTGACCCTACCTCCATAAAGCTTAGCTCATTCAGGGGGATTGTAGTTTTAGGTTCGCCTAGGCCCCATCAGCTGCCCAGCGGGACTCGATACAGGTTCGTGAATTTAACGGTGACGTCTAGCACAATACAACACATTTACTGGTGACATTAGTTCACATGGAAGCTAGGGAGATATTTTTAAAGCAAACATTTATTTTCCATCTATAAGAGCTGGATTCACACTATTTGCTTCTTGGGTCACATGGAAGAAGTGAATTCCATGGATGTCTATGACTTTCCCATATTAAATTTCTGCTTATGAGTTTTGCTCACCCTATTTCGTTTAAGGTAGATGAATTTTCCCATGATATGAGGAGAGCTGACGTCTCAACGAATTTCACATGGCCTTGCTTTCCTTAAATTGTTCTCATCCAAGGTGGACTGCTATTTCGAACTTTTAGTAAAGTAAGGCCATAGGAGCTTCATTGAACAATTCAGCTCTACTCATATCATTGTGGAAAAATTCAACTACCAGTCCTTCATCACTTTAAACGAAATAGGATGAACATAACTTATAGATCTGATTTACTGGTACTCTCGAAAACCTACTCAAAAGCGAAATACATTTCCTTGATGGAATTGTTGATTAAGCAAAGTTGTGTTTGCTGTAGCAATCGACGACAAAACTTGGTTTTCAACACTATCAGTAGGTCTGATATTTGAGAGCTGTATGCCCTCTATTTCGTTGGAGGTGATGAATGCCAAATTATAAACATAAAAAACGTAATAATGTTGGTTTAGCCTAGTTTTCTCAACTTGATCGTAAAATCATATAGTCTATGTGAAACGTGGCAACGTACCAAGTCAATGGTTCTATGCTGGAAGTCACGAATACTATGGAAGAGAACGCATGACTACGTATTTTGCATAAGGCTTTTCTGATTTTCCGACAAAGTTGCGAGAACATGGGCAAACCAACACTACAAATAGAATATATGAAGACCAAGATGTTGTGGCCTCTGTTATGGTCGCAGTCTCCTTTCGCTTTATAAAAGTGGGTTGACCTTGTTGTCGCAACTTGGTCTTGTTGCCAGGGGCGTCCACAGTTTAATCAAGGAGACGATCAATGTAGGGAAGGCCTGGAGTGAAATGCACACTGGGACTGGTACCGAGTGAAATCAGTCAACCAGAAAGCGAAGGAACGGATCCACGAGACGATGAAAGGATCCGAATTGGAGGCCCTAGTGGGATAAGCCCATCGAAAGAGAGGGACCGGGGTAAAAAGAAAGTGTGATGATGCCGCAAAAGGGCACACATTTTGACGAGTGGAATGTAAACAAGTGAGAAGTTGTGATAGAGACGGCAGTGGGATAAGAGTGTAAAGAGTAGATAGATAGACAATGACAGAAAGAGGAGTGATAGTGTAACCGTTTTTGGCAGAATGGTTGTCGAGGGATTGACTTCACTTGTCTCTTTGACGAGTTCGTAGCTTGGTGCAGAGAATGGAAGCACTTACTGATGATGCCGATTACGATACCGGCGAAACGTTTAAAAATGTACCAAGTCCCCTGCCTGATGCTGGGAATCATGATAACTACTATGGCAGACGACTTCGAACTAGGTGAGTTCTACATAGTCTCCCTGACAACAAGACCAAGTTGCGACAACGAGGTCAACCTACAAAACTATAAAGCTAAAAGTGAAATTACCCAACCATATCATGGACTTCATCTCTAGGAGGAAATTCGAAAGGTGGTCCGAATTGCTATAGCAAATTCAAATTTGTTTCCACCACATAATTTGATACACCAAAATGCCTGGTCTTCCGTGAAGTTCACATTTGCCCTGTGACCCGAGGGCACTC